TTCTCCAGTTGTTGTTCCGTGCATGCTGCAAACGGATGCCAACTCTTCTGTGACCTGAGAGTCCAAATTAACATCACAAATGAACACGAGAAGTTGTGACGTACTCGAGAGATCAGTAGACTCGTCCAGTGCCAGAGAATACCACAAGAAGTTCCTAGCTTTCTCGTGTATCTGTAACATTATGTTCTCTCCAAGTTCTTCTGTTCTCCGCACAACTTAACTTGCTGAAAGGCTGATACTTCCAAACAAATCGGCTTTCTCAGGAAACAAGTCATTTGCTGCTTCCATCATACACTCTTTGATGGAGTTGCCGTCAGTAAACGGTTTTCCTCGCTCTGCCATCATATGCTCTATTTTGTAACTTGTACGAGTGACAGATTCATTTTCAGCAAACATTTTCGTGGGTAAAATGAATAATAGAAGGGTAAGCGTGCAAGAATTCTGTAATATAGGAACATCTTAATATAAAGTTTGCTACAAAAGAACGTAGTGGCATTAAGTAAATTCAGACACTAATTTCCACTTCATAAAGCTATAAATTGTTTAAAGAATCAGACTATTTGATAAAAACAATTTTATTTTAAGTATTTCTTTATTTTCCTACTTTTTGTTTCTTAAAGTCTAGTTGCAGATATTCTATTTATGCATTGAAAATACTCTCATAGTGATAAAATACACCGAGAATGTTCTGCCATCTAGTGTACAAAATGTGAATTGCATTCAATGAAGAAAATTATTCATTCTTAAAATGTGAGCTGTTAACTTAGTGAGTGAATATTTTTATTTCTGCAAATAACTCTGGTAATAAGATAAAATAATAATGTGTTTATATTTCAAGTGTTCATGTATGTCCCTTTTCTTTCATAAAAAGTATCCTTTCTGAATTCTTTGGGATAATGGATAAAAAAATGTTATTATGCACAAAACTAATTATGTAAAATTTCTATTGATTGAAGTTTAATACAATAATTTAGCATATACTAAAGATGTAATATTGATAAACCTTTACATTGTATTTCACTGTGACTAACGTTTGT